ATCGAGACAATACACAAACCAAACTGCAGGCAAAATACAGCTAGGATGACAGGCTTCACTACAGCTGATATAGCCACGGGAAAAAAACTACAGTCGTATACAAACCAAACTACAGATATAATAAACCCAGAAAACATATAATATATCAGAATCAGAATCAGAATCCCTTTCTTCGTCCCAGAGGGGAACTGTGCGTAGTTACAGCAGAGAGAGAGCCACAGGCAGCTTCGTGGTACATGCATTAAAAAGTACTAAGTTAAAAAAAGTGATGATATAATAAAAAATATAATAACAAATAAAAAGTTACACAATTTACAAAATACACATCCTGTAACAGTTCTTAGGGTTTAGCAGACAGGTATATATTACACAGTTATTAACGACTATATATATATTGCATATAGTTGGTTGGTATTTAACAGCAAGGGGTGTTATAGTCTGTGTTGTTGTGTGTGTGTGTGTGTGTGTGTGTGTGTGTGTGTGTGTGTGGTGTGTGTGTGTGTGTGTGTGTGTGTGTGGGGGGGGGTCTTCTAGGGGCTGTGCTGGTTGTATAGTCCGACCGCTGCAGGAAGGAAGGACCTGCGGTATCTCTCCGTGAGACAGTGGGGGTGCAGCAGCCTGTCGCTGAACGAGCTGCACAGTGAGGACAGGGTGTCCTGGAGCGGGTGGGACACATTGTCCAGCAGGGAGGACAGCTTGGCTGCCGTTCTCCTGTCTCCCACCTCCTCCACAGTGTCCAGAGGACTCCTGTCTCCCACCACCTCCACAGTGTCCAGAGGACTCCTGTCTCCCACCACCTCCACAGTGTCCAGAGGACTCCTGTCTCCCACCTCCTCCACAGTGTCCAGAGGACTCCTGTCTCCCACCTCCTCCACAGTGTCCAGAGGACTCCTGTCTCCCACCACCTCCACAGTGTCCAGAGGACTCCTGTCTCCCACCACCTCCACAGTGTCCAGAGGACTCCTGTCTCCCACCTCCTCCACAGTGTCCAGAGGACTCCTGTCTCCCACCTCCTCCACAGTGTCCAGAGGACTCCTGTCTCCCACCACCTCCACAGTGTCCAGAGGACTCCTGTCTCCCACCACCTCCACAGTGTCCAGAGGACTCCTGTCTCCCACCTCCTCCACAGTGTCCAGAGGACTCCTGTCTCCCACCACCTCCACAGTGTCCAGAGGACTCCTGTCTCCCACCTCCTCCACAGTGTCCAGAGGACTCCTGTCTCCCACCACCTCCACAGTGTCCAGAGGACTCCTGTCTCCCACCACCTCCACAGTGTCCAGAGGACTCCTGTCTCCCACCACCTCCACAGTGTCCAGAGGACTCCTGTCTCCCACCTCCTCCACAGTGTCCAGAGGACTCCTGTCTCCCACCACCTCCACAGTGTCCAGAGGACTCCTGTCTCCCACCACCTCCACAGTGTCCAGAGGACTCCTGTCTCCCACCTCCTCCACAGTGTCCAGAGGACTCCTGTCTCCCACCACCTCCACAGTGTCCAGAGGACTCCTGTCTCCCACCACCTCCACCACGTCCACAGTGTCCAGAGGACTCCTATCTCCCACCTCCTCCACAGTGAGGACTCCTGTCTCCCCAGTGTCCAGAGGACTCCTGTCTCCCGACTCCTCCACAGTTAGGACTTCTGTCTCCCACCTCCTCCACAGTGTCCAGAGGACTCCTATCTCCCACCTCCTCCACAGTGAGGACTCCTGTCTCCCCAGTGTCCAGAGGACTCCTGTCTCCCCTCCACAGTGTCCAGAGGACGCCTGTCTCCCACCAGAGGACTCTCCAGGACAGAGCTTCCTCACCAGTTTGTTCAGTCTCTTCCTGTCAGCAGCCGAGATGCTGCTGCCCCAGCAGGATACACCATAGAAAATGGCTGATGCCACAACAGAGTCGTAAAAAGTCTGAAGGTGCGCCCCCTGCCCCCGAAAGACCTCAGTCTCCTCAGCAGAAAGAGTCTGCTCTGTCCCTTCTTGTACAGAGCAGCAGAATGATCAGTCCAGTCCAGTTTATTGTTCAGGTGAACACCCAGGTATTTGTAAGATTTCACGATCTCAATGTCCGCTCCCTGGATGTTCACTGGTGTCGGGGGGGAGTGTTGGCGCCGTCTGAAATCCACCAGCAGCTCCTTGGTCTTCCCTGCGTTGAGCTGGAGGTGGTTCCTCTGGCACCAGAGGGTGAAGTCCTGCGTCAGCTCCCTGTACTCCCTGTCGTCCTCGTTGGAGATGAGGCCAACGATGGCGGAGTCGTCAGAGAACTTCTGCAGGTGACAGGTTGCGGTGTAGAGGGTGAAGAGAAACGGTGCCAGATCAAGAAAACTAAACAAACTACAGATATGATAGCGCCAGAAAACACAACAAACTACAGATATTATATAGGCTACCCAGAAATTAAACAAACTATTATATAGCCAGAACACATATAATATACCTAGAACAAACTACAGATATTACATAACAAGAAAATATATAATATAGAAAACAAACTACAGCCAGCCTTTCTGAAGGAGAACTGAAACCAGCTGCTGAAAAACCTAAAAACATGTGACAACTGTCAGTGAGTTTGTTCGTTTTGTATAATAACGTTTTTGTGGTTAAAATATATTAAAAGATTTGAGTTAAAATAGTTAATGTTTAAAATGACAGGTTTATTACATCGACAGCTAGAGTCCTGTACTGTGCAGGTCAGCTGTTTATGATTAACTCAAGCTTTCATTTCAGCATTCACACACACACACACACACACACACACACACACACACACACACACACACACACACACACACACACACACACACACACACACACACACACACACACACACTTCAAACAGCTTCATGTAGCAGTTGCTGATATTGAACATTTTTCCACTCTGACACACACGCTTCCTCGTACTCTACCCGCAGTGCGTGTGTGTGTGTGTGTGTGTGTGTGTGTGTGTGTGTGTGTGTGTGTGTGTGTGTGTGAGAGTGTGAGTGTGTGTCCGCCCCCCTTTGCTTCATTTCCTGAATCCCTGCCTCTTCACTCGCTGTGACATGGGAAACAAACGCACACGTACGGATTAAAAACTGCATAAAAATGACGAGAAAAGGTAAGAAAATCACTTTGTTTTAACTCTTACGTCACTTTTACGTAACGTTTATTATGATTTGACCTGCTGCTGCTGCGCAAACCAGTCGAAAAAAACGCAGAAAGTCCGAGGTTTGACTCAACTGCGACCAAAGTCCTTCAGCTTTACCGTAACAAAGTACTAAATAAACGACATTAAATCAATGCATTCATGTAATTCTAAGTGAAAAAATGACCGTAAAGTACGTAAAAGCATCTAAACATATGATTTAATTATACAATAGTCTGTATGTAGTACTCCTGTGGTTATAATAATGTGTGTTTTATAATGTTAGTGACTTAATGTAAAGCACCTGAGAGCAGGTGCGTTATTTGTTTCCTTGTGATGCGTTCAGGAGCTGTGGGAAAATACCACACCGCACCTTAAAAGTGCCAATAAGTGGTGAAAAGTAAACATAGCAAAACTGTTCCGAAATACAATTTATTTTTTAAAAGTACAAGCATAACATTATACTTAAAGTAACATAAATAAAAGTACCTATCATGCAGGATAATTATAAACCTATGTTTAAATATATATAAAATACTGATTAATCTATTAATACATCTGCATGTATTAGGTAATTTATATATTATTAATATGATACTTTTGCGTTTTAACACTTAACCAAAGATCTTATTCTCAACATTATTATTAGTATTTACACTGTCATATATATATTTGTCTTAATATTTAATATGTATATTTTAACATATTATCAGTTGTTTTACATTGTAGTACATATTTGTTTTAAGGTATTGTCTTATATATATTGTTAACATATTTCTTACATAATTATTATGTTTTGTAGTGTATTATTTTTATGAAGAAATGTCAATTTCTTTTTTTTTTGTATGATTATATTAGTATTATTTTTTTTAATAAATGTGTACTTTTGGACAAATATTCTAGTACTTGTATCATTTGCATTCCCTGACCTTTACCTGCAGAAATACTGGTTTCAAACACAATGAAAAAAGGAAGAAAAAGCACATTTTAATATTGTTTTATAATCATTGATTTAAATCCACTTTTTCCTCAGCTCAGTTTGGGCCCGCCTCCTTCTGATGAGCTCCACCAATGGGCTGAGGGCAGGGGCGGGGCCAGGATGAGTGCTGAGCTGCTATTGGAGGAGACGCTCATCAAGCGGTCTCAGCAGAAGAAGAGAACTTCTCCTCTGAACTACAAGGAGAGGCTGTTCGTGCTGACCAGGAGCAAACTCACATACTACGACGGGAGAGCAGAGGTCACTTCATATCAAATCAAATCAAATCAAATCAAGGTTTATTTATAGAGCACATTTAAAAGCGATTTTTGGTCGGGCCAAAGTGCTGTACATGTAATAACTACAATCACATAAAAACACATTTCTATAATAAAGGACAATAAATTACAACAGATATTTAAAAAGAAAACACAGGGAAAAGTCAGGTGTCGTGCTCCGCTCTGACTAAAAGGCCAGGGAGAAGAAGTGTGTCTTAAGAGTAGATTTAAAAACCCCTAGGGTCTGGGCCGACCTCACATGGAGGGGCAGAGTGTTCCAGAGCCTCGGGCCATATATATCACATTATTATTATTATTTAAAGGGGACCTATCATGCAAAATGCACTTTTGTACGTCTTTTCTACATGAATATGTGTCCCCGGTGTTCCAGGGAACTCACCAAGTGTCAGAAAACACAACCCTCTCTATTTTCCTCCATACCCAAATCTCTAAAAAAGGGGCTGCAACGGATCTGATAAAAACTGATCCAGATTTGAACACTGTCCTGACGTCAGGACGGTGGCGCTACGGCTATTGGGCCAACTCCACCAATCAGGAGGAGACAGCCATGGCCATTGCCGTTCGAAAGCGCTGGAGACGCTGTAGTACATATGCCAGGCCTGTAGGTGGTGCTGTTCTCACATAATCAGCCCTTGCAAAAACAGAGCTAAAAAATGTCAAATTGAGCGAAATGAGGCATGGCTAAAATGCATGATCTGTTTGGTATTTTGAAAAAAAAAAAGTATAAATATGCCTTATATAGGTATGGTCCTACACTATATTATTCAAATATAGCATGATAGGTCCACTTTAAATATTATTCTGGAATTATTTGGGTTTTTTTTTAGAATAGAAATTCAAATTTTAATATATATTCTTGTTATATTTCTCTCCATGAGCAGAAGAAGTTCAGGAGAGGTTCCATCGAGCTGAGCAGGATCAGATGTGCAGAGATCGTGAAGAACGGAGCAGGAGTAATCCCCTGCCAGAACAAATACCCCTTCCAGGTACTAATACAGGATGCTAGGAACTACATTTCCCATGATGCTTCAGTAGAGTGGTATAGAGTGGCGAAGTCACGCCCATCTACTTCCGGTCCATGGGACCTTATTTCGGAAAAATTATGTATTGAAGTCAATGGAGAGAGAAAACTTATCTTTCGATCCCGTTTGAATTGTGCCATGAATTACACATATGATGTTTGTCAATCTTAAAAAATCATTTCCATGTCAAAAAAAGTCACAGTTTGTCGTAAAACTGTTGAAATATAAGACTATGAAAAATATGCAACTAGAAAGACTACAAATCCCAGAGTCGAGTAAGTGATGTCACAATTGTTTTCCTCCACTAAAATAGAGATAGCTAATAATAATAAATAATAAATTGCTCTTTTTGTCATTTCACAGTACAGGTACTATGTAACGAAATTGTTCCTCTGCATTTGACCCATCCTAGTGTTAGGAGCAGTGTGCTGCCATTATGTCCGGCGCCCGGGGAGCAGTGTAGGGAACGGTGCCTTGCTCAGGGACACCTCGGTAGCACTTGGTCTTGCCGGGACTCGAACTGGTAACCTTCCAGTTGCCAAACCAAGTCCCTATCGACTTCGCCACCACCGCCTAAGATAAGATAACTTTAACAAGATGCCTGTGTGCTTAGTACCAGGTTGTAATCATACCAGCAATGGGTCTTGCTCGTTCTTTCGCTTCCCATCTGATGAAAGGACCAGGAGTGGCTGGATCAAGTTAGCTACCTAGCTAGTAGCAAGCACGTTAGTTAGCATTACAGCCGGCTTAGCCTTGTCATTTTTATTAGCCTTAACATGAAGTAACATTAAGTAACCCAAAATGTTAAACAGTAAGAGTAGTCATATTTCGTGAACCCTTTGAAGAGTACTGTCACACCGGTGTGATCATTCTATAATACACAATTTAAGCCCGGGGGAGAAATGCTAACGCTAACGCTACATTAGCATGGGCGATCTTTTCTACTTCATGCTATCTGCACAAATGGTTGACATTAAACATTAAAAAGACCAGGCAGTTCAGAGAGAATCAAGGAAGGCAGGCAGGCAGCTTTGCATGACTTTCTTCAGGACGTGTTTCATTGTGGTGATAGTGAGGGTAGTCAATCGTTTTGTTGACAAGACAGTAGTGACGGCCATCTTGGTGACGTGTGTTGTTGTGCAAGACCAGAGATGTAGTTCATTGAGCGTTTCACACAAAAAAAAGTGTTACTTCACAGTTTTACGACACATTACACTTTTTTTTTACTTGCAAAATTAAATTGAAAAACATCATATGTGTAATTCGTGGCACAATTCAAACGGGATCGGAAGATAATCTTTCTCTCTCCATTGACTTCAATACATATTTTTTCCGAAATAATGTCCCATGGAGGTCCACCGGAAGGGGAGGGACTTCGCCACTCTATTCTTAAATTGCCACATTAGCTTCATCACTTCATACATTGGAATAAAAACTTGAAACACGATGATTCTCTGGAACATATCGCAGTTAAAGGAGTCGGGTATAATACATAATAATACACAATGAGGGGAAATGTGGTCACAATTCAAAGATAAAAAACAACGAACAAAGTATTTCTTGTGTTTTTGTGCAGGTTGTTTACGACGCGAACACTCTCTACGTTTTCGCTCCGAGTCACGACAGCAGGAGTCTCTGGGTGCAGAGCCTCAAAGAGGGTCAGTCTGTATTTATTTTATTTATTATTATTTTATAATTGTATATATTATTATTTCTTTATTATTATTATTTTACTTTTAATATTTTATTATTATAATTTTATTATTGTATTATTATTTAAATTTTATAATTGTACTATTATTATTTTATTATTATTATTATTATTTTACTATTATTATTTTAATTTAATTATTTTACTATTATTATTTTTATTTTACTTTTATATGTGTATTATTATTTTACTATTATTATTTTATTATTATAATTTTATTAATATTTTAATAAAACCCAAATCCTTCCCTATATTGTAAAGCAACTTTGAGTCCCAGAAAAGCGCTATAAATATAATTTATTATTAGTAAAAGTGAGTTTAATAAACCACGTTTATTCTATATTTCTATTCCTGTAGCGTCTGATGATTTAGTTTTTTCGTTCCTCTTCATAAAGACTTTGCTCTCATGCCAGCAGCCTCGAGCTTCTGCACGTTCTCACACTTTTAAACCACACACCTGAAACTGGTTTTCACACTTGGGTCCAATTTCCCAGAAGCCCCCACTGTTTCCACCCCCCACTGTTTCTAAATGTGGGTTTTTTACTCGAGATACCGTTTCACTTTTAGATTCAATGCTGGACAGTTTAATACAAAGACGATGTGTCACCCTCGCCTCTAGCAAAGTAATAGTGATTTAAACTGACCTTAAAGTGCATAAATACCACTTATTTTCTGTGTATATCTCAGTTAAAACGTAACAAAGTGATGTGATAAATATATTTTTTTATTCAGTATGACTTACACCAGGGGTCGGCAACCCCTGGCACACGTGCCACCATTGGCATGCGGCACCGTAAGGAATAAGTGGAATAAGTGTGCAAAATATTACAATTTTATTTTCGGATCCTGAACGAGACCGCCGCCAGAGCGCGTCTCCCCGTTACCTGCAGAAGGAAGCCATGCACGCAAAGCAGTCCCGCTCTCTTTAAATCCAGGCGACTTTCTGCCGCTTTCCTCCGTGGTGCAGGGCTGATCGTTTCACCACGGAGGAAAGCACTTCACAAATTGCAGTACCCATAAGGAGCTGTACAAATGCTGCAGTTTTTGCGTGGCTGTGTCTTTAGTTGAGAGCCCAGTAGCGATCTGCTCATCTCTCATCGAAATAATATGCTACAAAGGGGCGGACTGGCCACCTGTGTGTTCTGGAGAATCACAGAACAGACGATCGTCCTTATTATTATGCCGTTTAAACCAATTATTTAAATTTGTTTGTTAAATTCGGCATCATGTAAGTTGCGCTGACAGGTCCACACACTGCTCCCCCCCGTTGATAATTCACGATCGTCGGCACGCTGATAATTTTTTTTTTTCATATCAAAAAGGTTGCGACCCCTGACTTACACCTTACATATCTTTGAAGTCCATTGTAAAAAACGTCCATAAATCAGCTTAGAAAAAGATGCTGCATTGCAAACAAGGAGTGCTTATTGCTAATTCAGCGCACTTTTAATGCTGCTAATTTGCCAAAATAAAATATAGGCCAAAACAGAGTTGTAGCTCACAGGCTAACGCATTATGCGAAAACGTTTAAGTCGCCTATAGCGTCTTTTAGCTCATTGTTGTCGGCCTGTATTCCAATTTTTATGTTTAAACGTTAATAACCGAGTAATAGGTGTCTTGTTTAAATCCCTCAAGGCATTATGGGACACATTTAACTAAGATTTTTTGCGTTTTTTTAGCTTATTGTTTCGGTTTTTCCGGCAAATGACTGCAATGTAAGTTGAGTCTACAGGCTCTCATAATATTAACTACATAACAAGTGATTAAGAAACTAGCAATCAGTGTGTTTTTGCTGGCCCCAAGTGACCAAAAACTGTACTTATTGCACGTTTTAAGACATTTGGACAACTCTTTATATGTCAGTATTTAAGTAGTTTTTTAACCGTTTGTGTGTCAGTATTACAGCATATGCTCATATGAGGCACAAAAAGGAATATTTATATAATTTCTAGACGTTTTTTTTTCCTGTTTACATGGCCTTTGACACGTTGATTTTGTGTCTTGCAGAGATCAAAGATAACCCCGGGGTCTGGGCGAAGTTTCACCCTCAGTTTTGGCAAGAAGGGGCGTGGCTCTGCTGTCGTCAGGCGGAAAAACTGGCTCCGGGCTGCGAGGAGTACAACCTGTTCGGAGACAGTGAGAAAAACCAGTGTTGTTTTTAGTTTAAAGTAGTTTGAGAAGTTTTAACACACTTAAAAATCAACACAGAATTACGGTTTAATCCAAGATGCAGCTCTGTAGAGGCTTTGAGCTCTTGTTTTGGTTCCTGAGCTTCACATATATTGAGGGTTTAAAGAGTGTTTTAGAAGTAAAGCTATTAAATAAGTGTAGGGCAGTGAAGAGTACACTATCTGCCTCTTTAGAGAATTGGAAGTTCAAAGCAGCAGGAAATATAAATACGTAAAGCAACATTGTACTTAGTTGAATACACCTAGTTACTACTTGCTTGTAGTATAAGAAGTATATCTTATATATTATTATTTATATTTGACGGGACTACGGATGGAAACTAGCTCAAAGCTAATATCCGGCTCATTTACATTTAAAAGCATTATTTTGTTTAAAATGTTCATTAATGTGCACTGTCCCGGTTCAAATAAACAATTAAATGAAAAAATATACGTGCAGTTCGATATCATTTTTGAACCTTTTTTATGTCATTGTTTTGGCTCTCAGGCTTGTTTAAAGATTGCTTTGGGGGAACCTTTTTAAATAAATGTGATAATACTTCAACAATAACACCACATTGTTTGATTTGAACATTTATACCAATAATCAGATGTTTAGAGCTTTTTAGCCTTTTTTAATGTCATTGTTTTGGTTCACTAGCTTCAAGTAATGTACGGAAAAACTCAATTTAAGTGCCTTTGTTTACTTC